GGAAGCAAGGGTCGCGCGGCGCCCTCAGCCAGTGACGAGAGCGGTGGGCGGGGCCTAGGCAGTGACGCAACGCGAGTCGCGGCCGTCCCGCGCGCTCGGTGGCGGGTGGCGCGTGGCGGCCGGGCCGTGAGGGCGGGAGCAAAGGGCGCCGTGACGGAATCACAGCATCCGTGAGGGCGGGAAACACCTCCGGTCACCGAGTCCTTTCCATGGAATGAACACCGTCGTGTCATTTACACCACCGCACTAAGTGCCGTGTCCAGTCTTAAACACCTCCAAGGACAGCGACTTCACCCCCTCCCTCCGCAGCCCATTCTAATGGCTAATCACCCTTTCTGGGAGAAATTCTTCCTGATGTCCAACCTGAACCTCCCCTGGTGTAATTTAATACTGTATCCTCCAGTCACTGGTTGTCTGGGACAAGAGGCCAACCCTCATGTGGCCATGTGGCTACAGCCTCCTTTCAGGCACTTGTAGAGAGGATAAGGTGTCCCCTGAGTCACCTTTTCTCCAGGCTAAACACCCACGGCTCCTTCAGCTTTTCCTCACAGGGCATGTGTTCCAGACCCTTCACCAGCTTGTCCATGAGTTTTAAAACCTTCTCCAGGGGAGCCAAGGGAGTAATGATGTGGAAGTGTTGCAGTAGCCAAAGTGAGGCGAAATGCCCCTGGAGAGCGCGGCCAGGGCCGCCTGCCAGCATGGCCCCACGAGGGCCTGGAGGGGAGCGGGCGTGCGGCCGCACCCTCCGTCCGTGTGGGACGCCAAAGCCACGCTGCTCCGACAAAGACGAGAGGGTTGTGGAAGGGACTGCCACACGAAGGGATGGGAGCGTCCCAAACACCAGCCCAGCAGCGTGGTAGTGCTTGAAGAGGACATGTCAGTATTCGCACATTATTCTGCCTTCCAAGCAGAATTTGAATGGGGAGTTCCTGACATGACTGGCATCTCACTCTCCTTGGCAAGGAGGAGGAAGAGCTGTTGGAAAAGCCCAGTGTAATAATGTCCAGCGTTCAAAAGAGTCGAACTGTTTGCTTTAACTATGGGCATAAAAATGGTCAGAATTTTCCACTGTCTGACATTGGAAAAACACTTATTTTCTGTGTGTGCTTTTATGTTGTCCTGGAACTGGTGTGGGTGTGCCCCTGTAATTGCCCATGGGCCAAGGCTCATGTGAAGAGTCAACATAAAGCAGAAAGGAGTGAGAACTGTAAAAATAGATCAAGGGTTCCTCTGATGGCAGAATTTTGTAGATAATTCACAAGACCATTCAGAAATTATCACTCCCTAGTTCAGACAGTGCATTACCTTCCAAAGCTCATGGTGTCTAGATCACAAGACACAGGTTTTGTGCATTTTTAAACACTTCATCACAAGGTATATACAAAATATGCATTCTTAAACTTTTAAAAATTTATGTTGTTGTCTTATTGACAGTTCACTGGCCACAGTAAAACTGGTGGTGTTCAAGGTGCCCAGTGTTCTGTGATAGAACAGACTAATAGTGAAATTTTTGGCTTCTCTGCTAAATGTGGCATCTGCAACATACATTGCAGATGTGTGTGAAATGTATGTAAAATCCTGCATTTGGCTTCCTGTGTAGGGTAGAGTATGCTGTAGGACTTCCAGAGGCAGCACTGAAGACAACGGCAGGACTTTCCTGGCTTTGTGGGTTTGAATTGCTGGAGTAAACTCAAATGACTCGGGGTGCAATTTCAGTGCTCTATACTTTATACACATTAACATTCATTAGACTATTTGCCTTGGTGTGGTTTGCCTAGAAGGCTCATGTTTTAGTCTTTCAGTTATTCACTGTGGTTACACCTGGAATACTCTTTCCTAGCTCAGACCATTACACACTGGAACTACAGTTATTTTGCAATCAGAATTCTGTGTGTAACTCTATGTTATTCTGTCCCAAATGAAGGAAAAATAAACCAAATGTGTCGAGTCCAATAATAAACAAAACATGTCAAAGGAAGCATCCAGATCTCTTTACCAGGGACACTGCAAATAAAAGAAAAAAGGTAGCCCTGCCTTATGGACCTAGACTGGAACTCAGGAGAATGTGTGATTTTTTTTTTCTCAACTCTGTGCTAAACTTCTGGTTTGGTCTTTGACAAAGAACTTAGAACCCATTTCCTGTGGAAATCATCGCCTCATCCCTGAGCAGCTTGAGTACCTTGGCCTGTTTTCATCCCCTTACCATGTGGAAGTGGGACAACCCTGAGCTGTTGCTGGTTATCAGCAAACTGTGCCAGCACTGGGGAGTGTGTGATTTGTGCTGGAGTCCTTGTGGTGTGAGCTGGTTTTAAGAAACGGTTGGAGTTATGACCTGAGTCATACATCTTACCTCATCACAAAGCAGTACTGACTGATTTGCACCATTGTGATTTCTAAACTGTACTGAAGCAGTTCGGAAAACATGCAGATTTTTTTTGTTTCTTTCTTCTGATTTTATCTTTGCCTTTGGAATTGTTTGGGAGAAGGGTATATCCTCTTCTTGAGTTTTTCAAAGTCCAGTTTATAAAGATGAAAGAGTTATTCTGGGCTGGGCTTGAAAAGTTTTTTATGCTAGTATCCTTCAGAAAGGAATATTCTGCAGTGGCAAATGTATGGGTTCAGGGTTACTTTTCTACACTTTTATGGTACAAGTCCTGTCACTTGGAATATACTGCTGACCTTATGTTTATTATGTCTTTTACAGGCTGTTCTGGGGGAAGACAGGAACCTGTTCACCCAAACAGGTAGGGAGCAAAGTTGAAAAGCATTATGTTGAGAGCTTTGTAACAAGCTGGCTCCTGGATAAGGGCCACAGCCAGATTAATCTGCCTGAGATACAAACAGGAGAAATGTAGAGGATTTTGTAGATAGTTAGCTAGCTAACAAAGATCATGCTGGAAGCAAGAAGGAGACGAGGATAAAAGCGGCAAGGTCACTGTGCCCTTGCCGAAACTTGAGGTTGTGGGAGAAGCTCGTTAGCTAGCAAGAATGAAGGAATGATAGTAGAAACCATAACAAGGTGAACACAAGAATGTAAACGTAGACGTAGTTGACTGATAAATGACTAACCAATGATGAGCTCAATTTTTGCAATATGCATTAGCCTTATTAACACTGCTATAAATGTGTGTGCCTATTCAATAAACTTTTGAGGCTTGTTGTTCATCATCTGGTGTGCAAGTCTTGAAAGTTGAAAAGCATTAGAGACTCAAAAGGAAATAAAAATGCCTGATAAATGGTGTGCCTCTAATCTCTACTGCTTGTTGTGTTTTATATAGTCTAAGACAGAGAAGCCAGTTTTGCTACTGCTTTAAACAGTTGCAAGGGCAGTCTCTGAGATGCTGCAGTTCCTAAAGGTGACTGTATTCCTTCTTAAGACAAAGCTAAATATTGGCCTGGCATCTACTTTTGTGTAATATTTTACCAAACATTTCTCAGGTTTATTTTAAGGACTGCTTTTAGTTATTTCATGTGGCAGTGTATTTATTCTTTGTGCAGTTGTCTCTGACAATGTTGTGGTGGTTTTTTTTTTTTTAATGACAAGTGTTACATTGACTTGAGTGTCTGGATTGAATTCAATGCTTAATTGCCCTTATTGAAAAAGAAAAAACTATTCCCGCATTTTAAAGAAATTCTGATACTGTCTCATTCCTGTGTTATAAAGACCAATTATTTGGGAGTGGGACAGAAAAATATTTTCCACAGCCAATGTATGGAGTGGCAGTTGAAAGAGTTGATCTTGACAGAGGAAGGCAGAACTTGGAGTTCTTTCTGCTGTTCCTGTGTTTTTGGAAAGTGGGTTTTGTGAAACTGTGAAAGCAACTACTTGGCACTAAGGGACATAAGAATGTCTCTTTAAGTGCCAAGTGATGAGAATTGCCTGGCCAGGATGTTGTAGGTTCCACTTAGGCACAGGGTGAGGCAATGCTGCTCAGCGTCGCAATGAGCTGTAAAAGAAATTTCAGGAGGCAGAGGGAGAGACAGCCAATCCAGCCAGAGTAGAAAGCAAGTGGGGCAGCTGGAAGATTGCCAAGCTTTCCTAGCTGAATCAATTGCACAACCATTATAATACCATGGCTTTCCGAGTGATGAATTTACTGATGAATTTAACAGGTGTGAAAATAGCAAAGGACTTTGACCATCCCTTGATGCTGTGGTTCTAAGCCTCAGGTATAAAGATTTATTCAGCAGCCATTTATTGTGTGATAAAGTGTCCCCATGACTGGGGTAGGTAGAAGTGTCTGTCATTCATCTGGCCTGTGGGGAACTGTGTAGATAAGGAGATCCAGGGTTCAGAGTCACTCTTTGTCACTTAAAACAAGCACAGACCTCAAACTGAGAACATGGACTCAGTACCTGCCTTCACTGTGTGGAGATACCGGGTTGCCCTGCTTGAGCACTTGCCCCAGTTGCTGCCTGCAGACTGATAAATGCCTTCTTATCTGTGGGCTCACAGATAAATAACCTTGAGCCTCAAAATAAGATGTGTGGGATACAACTTCTCTGTAATAAGATGATGGTTTGAGAAAAGTGACACAACATAGACATCTTGTTTGAATGAGTACAGAGTAGTGAGTATAAAACATACCTGCATGAAGTTGGGGTAATTTGCACTGAAGCATGGAATAGCAAGAAAGGACTGAATGCAAGACTTGTCCTAGGGTGGGGCTGCTTCTGGTTTACTATCAGAAAAACAATTCTGAATCCTTATAACCTACTTTCCATAGTGAAAGTAGGTTAAAAAGAGAGGTGATTCAAGATAGCAATTTAGAAAACAAACAAACAAACAAACAAACTTTTTTAGTTCAAGGACAAAATGAATTAAGTTAACCAAGAAGGTCATTCACATTTGAAAGATTGAAGACCCAGCAATTTTCCAGAAGTTCAGCTTTTCTTAAAGACATAACTCTTTCTTTGGAAAAGAACTTAAAAATTAACTTTAGGTCTTCAACAAATGAAAGGTAAATGAAAGGAGATTATTTTACCAAGTCCATTATGTTTTAAACTTTAGAGTTAATCTCATGCTGTTGTGGAGTCTGCCACAGTTTACTGGAAAGCTTAAAATAATAGAGGTGTAATAAATGTCCTTGAACATTGTCTGAAAGTGTGATTGCATTTAACAAGAAACGTGCTACGACAACAGTAATTTCTACTGGCCTCAATTTTAACTTTTGGATGGCAGGTAGTTGGTCCAAACTAAATCAAAGAGATGGGAGAATTACTGGAATATCCTATTTGGAGGGGATGACAATTAGTTACATTAATAACACATTTGCTTTGTGTATCCGTGATCATCTGGGATGTAGTCTTCTGAATAATCCAAGCTGTAGAGTGAGAAGTATCTCTGCAACAGCCGAAATTCAGACATTCTGAAACTAGTCTCCAAAGCACCAACTTAGCCCCAAGAAAAGCTTAAAATTAAGAGTCCTTTTGTAAGGAGATTTGTATGGTTGCGTCTCCTTATGTAATGGTGACGTGCTAATTTAATGTAATCTGCTAAAGCCTATGCAGTTCTTGTGTCTGAGGTATAGGCCAGACAGGAAGAGCTTGCTTGAAATATGAGCATTAGTATGGTCCCAAGAGTCACATGAGAATCTTAAAAATAAAAGCTTTGCTCACCTTAGAATTTTCAAAGGAGAAGCCTTTTATAACATAAATAGAGATAAGGCCATAAACTAGCAAATTTCTCTCCACTCTCTGACAGAAATGGAACTGGTGTGCTTTGACAGGCTTAATTTTTGTAAGTGTAAACCCAGTTCTCTGCAGAGCTACAAGGCCTCTGTGTACAGCACAGGGAGGAGCTGTTGAATGTGAAGCCTGACCAAGTCCCGAGACAACACGTTCATGGATTGTCTTCTTTATAGTCTTCTTCATTGAGAGGAAGTCACTCCTGCATGTGGTGGAACACGTGGGGTGTTTCTGTCAGTGGACAGGTGGGTTTCCTCCCTGTAAGGATCTTATGCTTGTTTTGCTGCCTGTTGTGTCAAGTTTTCATGAGTTTGGTCACCAAGTAATCACCTGGCTGGTAGTTTTAGAATCAGATTTTAATAGCCCAGCTTCATTGCTTCTTTTTACATCAGACTTCTTCAGGTATCTGTCAAGTGTTCTATCAGACCAGATTAGGGGTTTAGTGCTGTTTCTGACAGTGATGAATGCTGGCTGTTTTGCAGTCACAAAAAACTACCCAGGATGAGTTTATAATCCTAAGGCATGGACTTTCAGAGCTCTGAGAACACTTAATCCAAACTGCTAGTGTGGAAGATGTTTTTCTTATGCTGTTAGGACATGTCTCTAGGGCTTTAAAAAAATTATGTCAATCTTTTTGCCTTCATCATATTCCCAGACTTTTTTGCTTTTTGTTACTTAGGAAGTGTGCTGAACAAAACTAAATGCAAGATATCCAAATAACACAATATTTGTCTTTTCTGCTGTCCTGAATTGTACTAGAGGCAGAGCAAAAGGCAGGGGTCTGCATTTGTTTTAAAATAATTGCTCCAGGAGGTAACAACCATCTAAAAACCCATTTATGGCTGAGTTGTCATCAGCAGTTCTTTGCAGTAAGTTTCTTCATACTTCACTTTTAAATTTAAGCTGTAATTATGCTGCTCAGTTATTTTTGTACTGTCCTCTAGATGCTCTCCTGTACTCTCCTTGTGTCCTAATAAATGCATAAATCACCTCTGTTTTAACAACTAAAAATCTCATTGTTTCTGAAATGTGTGAAAGTGAGATAGAAGGTGAGTATCCTGTCCTAACAGACAATAAGGTCTCTGACTCCTGTCATGTCATTTTAGTTGTATCCTTTTGGTAGCCTTGGAGCCCTTTGTACTCAGAATACTTGCCCCGAAAATAGTGCACTGCTGGGGCACTCTGTCCTGGCTAACCTTCTGAAGATCTCACACATGAATAAAGTCATAAGTGATTTGTGCTGTGATTCTTTGCTAGTATCTCTTTTTTGTAAGGGAAAATTCAGTTGATAAGGACTAGCTGGAAACAAGGTTCTGTCTGAGCTTGTATTCAGGATATGATCCTGCCAGTCTCCTGAACTCTGGTGAGGGAAATATATCTGATTCCTTAATGGGACAGCTTAGAAGAATGCAATGAAAAAAATTCTCAATGAAAAACACAATGGTATTTTCCTCCCTCTTCCGCTTCTCTCTAGGGAACGACTGAATAATCTCATTTATTTAAGAGTTAAAAGAACCCCTAATGAATGTCTGTGTGCTGTTTCTGCTTCTTTAATCCCCACTTGGCTGCAAGCTTCTTAAGATATGTATTGAATCAACATGAGCTGGTCCTGAAACAGCTGTTCCAATATTATGTTCCTGAAATCTGTTTAGTAGCATCATAAATCTGTCAGCACACAGAAGATAGCAATTTAAGTGTATTCTTGCATGCTGTTATGAGATAGCTTTCCACAAAAGTTTCCTTTGCTGTTTTCTTATTTTCAAAAATCTTCACAAAAAATATTCAAGATATTTACATATATTGTATTTGGGGACTGTTTTGTTTAGTTGATTTTTGTTCACACTTCTCAGGAATCTAGAACAGCTCTATGACCACAACATGACAGCAGGGCTGTTCTTTCCTTATATCTTAGTATTATTTTTTTTATAACTGCCACATTAATGCTCATTATTAATCTCTGGCTACTATATTTATCACTTTCAGCCATTTAGGCCTGACTCCTAATAAGAGATTACATGTTTTTGGTAGCTTTCCTGCTTCGACCTAAAGGTTCTTCAAATCCCTGGCGGGACTATTAAATCCCATTCTCCCTCTACCAGACTTCCCTTCAGTGTATATGTCCTTTCCTTCGAATTCTCTGAAACATTCCTGTCTCAGACAGTGAGTGAAAAAGGAGAGAGAAGAGCCACAAGCCACAATAGTCTGACACAGGAATGTGTGTTTGGAGGGGCCAATGAGTGAAAAAGGAGAGAGAAGAGTCTGAAACACAAGCCACAATAGTCTGACACAGGAATGTGTGTTTGGAGGGGCCAGTCAGCCTTAGAGCGTGGAGACTTGGAGAATGTGCTGTGCACAAAGAGACACCAGTGGCTCATAAGAGTCATGTTTGTCCCCGTGTGTGCGCAGCAGTGCTGTCTTCATTGGCATTTGACCCCCTCCAGAGTAGCAGAAGATCCTTTTAACATGGAAGTTTGGTGTTTGGGAGGGCCTGCAAAGGGCCTTATTGGGGCCGTAACGCTGGTGCCCAGCTGTTGTTGGCAATTTCATCATGGTTCCTTTCATAAATGGAGGCAAGCCTCTTTTCTGATCCTCTCCTCAGCTATTCCTGAAGCTTCCTGCTGTGAACATTAAAAATCATCTTGTCATACCCACCCTAAGCTTATTCTCAGTCATACTGCAATACTCATTTATTAATCCATTTGGCCTTTAATGAACCAACTCTTTCCAAACCAGTGTTTACCCCACTGATGTGTTTATCTAGAATAGTCATGTTTTCACAGATTCTAGCTCAAGCTCTTCTAGTGGTCTCAAATAGTCTGCACATGTCCTGGGCTACTCTAATTGCTCTTCTCTTTACTGTTTGTATTTATTATGGTTCTCTGGGAAAGGCCAGACAATTTATGTTGAAGTTCTTTTTATTTGTTCCTCCATTTTTAAAAAAAATGTGTCAGTTAAAGAAATAAAAAAATCATTGAAACCATAGTTCTTGTGTCTCTTTCAGTAGTGTTTTCTGAGGATAGTGAGGATTTTTTTCCTCTCCTTTTACGGAATCATATAAATGTTTTTGTGCTGCTGTCATAGAGAAGGAATGTTGCAGCTCCGTAGGAACTGTCTGGATCTGAGGAACATCACAGCTGGGGATCCATTCAGGCAGTGTTATCTCTCTTGGCCCATCCTCAGGTTTCTATACAGGCAGACATGTTTCTTGATGGCAAAGTCTGTGCAACAAAATTCCACTTTCTTCATGCTTGACATCCAGTGGAAGCTTGGCTTATTTAGGCTACCTGGGTTTTCCAATATTGTATGGTCCAAATATCTGGGCTTGAAGTCTTCGTAGGAAAGTGCAAATTTTGGAAGGGGTTCAAATTTGGGCCTTCCTGAAAGATGCCACCTCTACAGTGCTTCTTTTTTCAACATGTCAGTGATTTTCAGAAGATTGTTTATTGTGGGGCTTGAATCAAGATAAGGAACTTTCTGGTAGCATGTCTAAGACAGAGTGTCCTGCTCTTGGCTCACATCCCATTTTGGTCTGTGCTTTCTGTCACTTTGCACTGCTGACCTTGGCTGGCTGCTCTTTTTATTTCACTCAGCATTGTGCCTTAGTAGCTGGTGACAACAGTGGGAATGCTGAGTACTGGTGAAGGCATCTGAAGGAGTACTGTTTTTGCAGAATTGATTCATGGGGATGTTCACCTTGAAGTAAGCATGCAGTGCACTCTTCAGGAGGTGTCACTTGTGACAGACCAGCAGAAATCTTTCTGTATGGAGAAAGTAGCAGGATTTATACTGCCATCTATGTCTCTTAGCAGGGACTGCTTATTTTAGCAGACCATTGACCCTGACTGCCCTGAAAAGGCACAGTTAGAGGTCACTCAGTTAAGAGAAACTGCCCAGACCTTCACTATTGCCCCAGTCATATAGGGTGCTCAGGGTCACTCTTTATGATTTGGAGAATTAAATATTCTGTTCCACTCTGGTGCGTAAGATTTAAATGGGTATAGATGTCTTGTGCTTTTTTCTTTCTTCTATAAGCATCTGTCTTCTCATATGAGTGATAGTATAAACGGTGACTTGAATTAATGTGTTTTTAACTTCTTTTAGGAACAGTTGCATGTGGTTTTTAGGATGCCCACCTGCATGTGACTGTTTTAGCTTTCTCAGCCACGGTTTGATCCACTGCTCACATACTGTTAACCTTTATGAATCTTTTGCATTGTTGAGGCTTTAGATGCTGGTGCAGAGGCAAAGGAACTGTTCAAACGTAAAGTACATGTGAGTCCCTTAGCCAAAGAATAAACTTCAGCAGTTACTGTGCTGAACATTCTCAGTGTTTGATATTCAGCATATGTATGCTGTAAGTTCAGGTAAATCACCATGGCCCAGGATAGGCCTCTGCCAATCTCACTTTGGAAGCCAGAGGGCAATAAAACTGCTCAGTTTTGAATTATGTAAGGTGCTGGTCTGGATTTTCATTTCCGGAGACAAACTGGTGAAAGTGCTCTTTGAAGTGCTCATAATCATAAAGCAAACAATTTTTTTTTTCTTCATTACACTGAAAAAAAAAAAGGTTATTCCATTTCAGATACAGAGATTCAATTATCAGAAATTTGTAAATATGTCAGAAAATGTAAAATGTAAATCAGAAGGGATTTTGTTACTTGGATTTGTTTTAATGCAATAGAAGAAAAGCAGAACAATTTGGGGTGTTCTTATCCAGGGCCATTTGGGACTACTACTAAGAAAATGACAGCATCTTATTTAGTTGCCCTGCTTTTTGAAATCCATGCAGTTTGAATCTGGAAGTGTGTTCTGGTTTAGTCATGCTAGGACAAAGTGCTAGAAAGCCAGCAGAGCAGGAATGTGTTCCTTCTGTTTTACCTGCAGAATTGCTTAGTCAGTTACAATTGCTTAGAGTTGCAATCAATCAGAGCTGTGTATATAAAGCCATCACAAGTAATGATGCATTAGCAAAACACAACTCTCAATCTGATTTGCTCTGCTTATATGCCACATTATGCTCTGCTTGCATGAGTAGCATTTAATGCAGATAATATCTTTTCAGTTTTATACAGGTTGCAGAGAATATAAAAAGTGTTGAAGACAACAAAGTTGTCTTTGGACAAGTTTTTCAATATAGTTTTTTACACCCTTCAGAGTAAATCTGGGTATTAAAATAGAATTTGCTAGTGTTATTGATGCACCCTGGAGGAAGAAAGGCAAATCACTCATGTAAATGGAGGAGTATAAATCATAGAAACTCTGCCAAACTTTGGTGTGGTTAGTAAGGAAGCAGTAGTCTGCAATGGTAATAAGTCACTTATCAAACACATAGTGCAATAAGGACAGTAAATTGGTGAGTTCAGTCAGACTGTGCTGATTGTCCCCATTCACATGACAGCTGCCAACTCATTTTATGGACACTGTTACACATACTGCTCAAGGCTAAAGGTCTTTTGAATTTCTGTTGTGTGTTGGTGCCAACTTAAAATGGTAAGACAAAAGTAAGCAGATAATCACAGTAACTGCCCCTTCTGCAAACCCCAAAGAAGCTATTAATCCATTCTGTCAACCTGCTGTGTCAGGACTAATTTAGTATTCTGAACTCTTGCCTCTGCTTTAGAGTGAGCTCTGCCCTGTGCTTCAGTATTGTCAAGAGAGGGCTTAATTCTGCCAGCTGATTCTGATAATACTCTTGCCAGTATTACTTGTGGTGGAAGTGTGAGATTCTTAGTAAATCCAGTATTTATTAGTTCTGTGTCTTCACCTTGTTCTCCAGTCAATCTATAAACTGCGTTTATGTAAAGGCAATATATTGGAACTCTTCCTAAACAGAGAAATGTTTTATTGTCACACATTTTTATGGGTTACGAAAATCAGGACTAATCCACAATCCCCCTAAAAAACCTCAAATAATTTACAGTTTATGTGTCCTTTGTTACTAAATGACAAAAAATCAGTGTCTTTGAGTAATTTAGGGGCTAACAATTTGTGGTCTCACATTGCTATCCCAACTAAATTAATTTAATAAAAATTGCTCACCTGTGAAGACCTGACTGTGTGTTGTGATCGCCAGAGCCCTTTCAGTGTTTTGTAGCATGTTGGTTATTCTTGGAGAAAAGTTACATTTGAGCTCCTTAAAATGGAGATCTATTTGAGCTTTTAAAATGGAGCTGGGTACCACTGTCTTTGGTGGATTTGAAAAATATATTTGACCATTTTCTTCAACAAATTTGGAAAGCTGAAGGATAAGAAACAGGTAAGGTATAAAACAAATATGTGTGTTGTATGGGGAAGACTATTTTAAAGACTTGAAATAACATGTGGTCACCCTGCTCTCCCTCAGTTATCTGTTTTGCAAATGCTAATAAAATTTAAGTCTGGTGGGAAAATATATTTGTTGCAGTGTTAGTACTCAAGTGGAAGTTTCAACAGGAATGTACTTATGCTGAACTTGGGTCAAATAACTTGGAATCAAGTTCTCATGGTAGTCACATATGGTTGGGAAAAGCTATGTAAGCTTTCTTTTGTAGTAGTCACAGTTATAAACTGCCTTAAAATGAAGTGCCGCTTATTGTTTCCATTGCCACATCTGTAAACAGTGTGTCTGCATTGATCAGAATGACAGACGGATCTGCATTTTTAGCTGTAGATGAATGCTCACTATAAAGACAGCTCTGATGGTAGGAGAGGTGCTTTCTGTGAGCTGCTGCTAATGTCTCTTTTGCCTTTGGAAACTAGTCATCTTCACTCTTTTGGTACAAAATCAGCAGGATTAGACCAGATCAGCTGTTTTATCAGCATCAGTTAACCCAGTGATGTGTGATAAAGTCTTAGTGGCGGTATTATACGTGGTCATCTGCACCACTAGATCTGGAAATCTACTTGTCTCAGGCAAAGAGGTGGTGACAAGCAGCTGAGAGCTCAATTTTGTACCAGAAAATACTGCCTTTGCAGAAGGCCATCTTCCCATTGCCAATTGCAGGAGCTCTGGGTTGATTCACACACCAGCAGGGAAGGTTCTTATTTCGTTTTCTGTGCACGATTTTTACAAACAGGAACAGCAGACTCTAAAGCTTAATGAATTGTGAAGCTCGTTCTGAACTCCTAATGTCACCATGAGGAATAACTAAGTTTTTCTAGATGTCTTTTAAAAATGAAAGTGCAGTGGAATTAGTTTCAAACCCAGTCACCACTTTTTCTCTCTCCAGTCTTTCTGCCTCTTGTTTCCTTATTTACCTCACAATGATGCTGCCAGCATTAATTACATAACAGACATTGTGAGTTTTGTAAAGGAGAGATGTGGAAAAGACACAAAGCTTTTAAGCACGTCTTTCTATTAGTAAAAGTTACCCGACTGTAGTCTGGGTTATCTGTATTTAACCAGGGATTCTCCTTCAGCCATGAGAGCTGGAGTGTCCCAATCTCCAAGAAAGTCAACACATATGGAGGGAACAGCAAATGAAATGAAAGTATTTCCTGAGTGCCCATAGTGACTGTCCCTTTAGCTGATAATTTTGAACCTGTTAAACATTGCTAGATTGAAATAGGTTTTGGTCTCTGATGATCCTCCTGTTGTGCAAAAATAGGCTTTGTAAGTCCACCTCCACACATGATTAGTGTTTCTTAAATTGACTGGTGACTACTCCTAGCATTACATAATCTGTGGAAGGATTTTGGTTTTGGATGGACAAATACTTCACTAAAATACTCATGTACCTAATTATAAAAATAACAGTACAGTATTGTACTGATGACTGGGAATGGCAGCTAATTAATGCAAATTGACCTCCCACTTAACATTATCAGCTTTTACTTGGCTGAAAAGCTTCTTATCCACACCAGCATGTGCTTTGTCTCTTTCAAGCAGTTACTGCCAAACCTTTCCTGACAAGCACTGCCATGGAACAAATTCCCCCTAACTCTGTGCGGTCAGCAGCTGCCAAGTGCTTCTCATCAGTTCACGCAGGTGGTCTTTGAAGTCTTCTGAAACAAAGTATCTGTCAGTTAAGAACAATAATTTCATGCCCTTTTCCTCCAATATTTGATGTAAAACACTCTCAGGGTAAGATGCTGCTGGGGTTAAAAACAAAGAGCTCATGATGGCTTACATAGTTTTCTGCAAATAATGAATGTCTAGGGTTTCATCTCAGACTTCATAGGGGATAGGAAGAATTGTTTTTTCTCTCAGAATCTTGTTCTACTATTTGTGTAGTGATAAAATGTTTTAAATCATTCAGCTCTTATTCCATGGGTATGTCTGTTGATCCCTGTGCAGGTGGCGGGCATGACTTTGGCTCAAAAATGCTACCTTTGGATCCCACTGATGATTTTTTTATTATTTTTCTTTTCCTGTTTTGAACTGTGGAGAATTAGTTGTCTGGCAGAAGACACCAGACACAGTAAGTGATCCATCATGCTTTTGTGGGGGATGGCATCTATGCTAATAGCTCTGTTGGCTTCTGAGGCTACAAGGGGGCCACAAATTGCTTTTATTCTTAGTGCTGAGACATCCTCCATGAGACTGCAACTATCAGCACATACAGCTTTATTTTAAGCTAAAGTGCTTACCTTGATCACTGGTGTAGTCTGATTCTGTTAAACTTCAGCAGAAAAGAGTCACAGATGTCATAGTGTTTTTAGGTAAGTTTCAAGAATAAAGGGTGAACCAGTGGAGTTCTCTCTTACCTCTGGTCTTCCTCAGAACAGCCATGTCAAAAGTCTTGCTAGAGATAGTGGGATGGAAAGGTTGATGACTGCTTGAATTGATCCCAGTGTCTCAACCCTCAGGTGATCTGAAGTTTGGGAACATGGTGTACCTAGAAATGTGCGTAGGGTAGGGGTGAGAGGAGGAAAATGGCAGGCACAATGATCTTGGGTTGGTTTAAGTTGTCAGGAAGAAGGACAGAAAGAAAGAAAATTTCCTTATTTCACATTTCACTGAGTTTTAGATTAAGTATAACACTTTGCAAGAACAGGGAGAAATGTGAGAATCAAAAAGGTGATATCTTAGTTTTTTAATCCCCTTTTGCTTGCACCCTGCAAGAATTCCCAATGATGCTGCCCTTGCAGCTTTTTTACATGATCAATCATACTGATTCTCATTTACTTTATGTGGCTTAAGGGAATTTAAAATTCTTGCACAGCTCCAATTAATAGTAACTGAGTTTGTGCTTGTGTAATCAAAATTTGTCTCTAAGATGGCATTTATTTCTGTAAGGAAGGAGGATAAAGCTAAACTGGAGATTTTATGGGATACTGAGAACTGGCATTTCATGAAGTGCCCATGTTCCTGTGGCTGGTTTTTTCAGCTATAAATTTTTAATGATAGAGTAATTTAAGACTTAATAAAATCAAGAGAATAATGAAATCTGAGGAAAACGAAAGCAGCGGTTTATTCCAGTAAGAAAGACTAGCCTGTTAAATGAATCCCTGTTGGGATTCATTCATGACATAAATAGGGCAGGAGATCTTTCTCCTTTTCAATGCCTTTATTAAAGAGATTCAGCTCAGGTGGGGAGAAATCGACGGGTCGCGCCCACGCCGCCGCTGTCCCCAAGAGTGGCACGGAGGAGGAGGGTGATGCAGCTCTGTCCGCTGGTCTGCAGGCAGAGCTGGGGACTGCGTCCTCACGGGAGATTCGCAGATTCCTGCTTTTCAGTCCAACACTCCGGGTCCCCTCCTTAGTGAACATCCTTTGAGGTCAGGGTGTGAAGAAAAAAGGATCCAAGCAGGCACTGGACTTCACGCCCATCCTTAGACATCACCTAGGGTCCCCTAATTCTATATTGGTTCGTTGTTTTTAGGGGTTTTCCTAGAAAACGGGAAAATTTTGGAGCAGTGCATTCCTCATCTGCATACGAGGTCTCAGGCCACTCCCGTTCTCCTGGGCTGCCGTGTCCAGGTGTAGCTCCGGGGCAAGCATTGGGAGGACAATGGCTAAATCACCAACCATTGACGGGCAATTAAAGAAGAACTCTTAACAATGAAGCTAATTTAACAGCAACTGGTCCAACCGGTTTTAGTTCTGTAACCTTAAACAAAAATAGGTAACTTTTTATTCATAACAATTTACCTTTATCACCACTGCATCCAGCAACTTGCTGAGAGCAAACACCTTCCCCCAGCTGCTGTGTAAAGCAAAGTCACAGTCTCGTACAGGAGCCAGATTAATTTGGTTCCTGGAGCTGTGTCATGACATAACGAGATCTTACCAAGCTGGGCTTTTCTGAGGCTTCTCTCTCATAAATCTGCTTTTTGACAGAGAAGTTGTTCTTTATAGTTGCTCTCAGACACTAATTCACATTAGGTAAAGAGGCCATGAACAACACAGCCGAGAAAACCCAATTAGCCCATAGGCAAGTCAGCAAGATCAGTATTTGTTAGGAGAGTGTGTGTGCTAAGTAAACACTGCTAATCTTCTAAACCTAATCATTGGATGCTTTGTTCAATAGAGACATTTTTGTGCCTCATAGTGTTGCTGCTGCTTATTGCCAAGGAACCTGCACTGTGCAATTATGATTGTGAGAAGAACAAGTTGCCCTTTTATTTAATTAAGGAAAGGTAAGATACAGGTGAAATGTACCTAGGCAAAGTGTCTGGTGGTTTGGGAAGTCATAATATCATGGCTATATTAGGGAAGAAATGTAAAAGCTTAGGTGAAGTGACCCACTCTCATTTGCATGTCCCACACTTTATCTGAATCAGTGCAGTCAATATACATTAGGGACAAATCAATGTGTAAGCAGTGCAGGCAGTGTTCTTACTGATGCCACTCATTACATGAGGAATGTTTTGTGTTGCCAGGTGCCAAAGACTGAAAAGACATCATGTGATGTGTGGAATGTCTTTTTAAAACAGAGTGAAGGAAAAAAAAAATCTATCTCCTTAGACTTTTGTGTAATAAGCTCTATATTAGTTTACAATGGTATGTATTATTAGTACAAAAAATAAATTAAAAAAAATCCTTTTATCAGTAATGCAAAACAAAAAACATACCCTGTTTATACTTGCAGAGAAATTACCTCTTCATACCATGCTAATACATCATTTATATTTTACCTTGGAGACTTATTTATTTCAAGGCAAGCAAAATAAAACACTAACTTTAAAGGGCAAGAATTTAATCACTAAACCTAGCTAAGAGTCTCTTGGCAATTTTACCAAGTCAGAAAAATATCTACGGTTGAAAAAGTAATTATTTGCTTAATGACTCTTTTTGGTATAATAAAAAATAAATGCCTGAAGTATTACTGTGCTAATCTAAGTAGTTCACCTAGAGATCCAAAATTTTGTGTATTTCATAAGAAAGGCTACTCTACCAGGCCTTGCTTCAAAGGGTCTATATTGTAAATGGGTAGGAGATGTTTCCAGATGAGAGCCCTTTTTAAAGCTTTATTATTTGTACATTGTCACACAATGTTTCTTGTTTCTTCAAAAGCTGTATACCAAAACCTGCATATTGCTAAAATCCCTTATTTTCCTCAGTGAGAAGAGGGATGTCCCAGATTAATTTCCAAACAGGAGGTGATGGTAACTTCTCAGGGCTCCTCCCCTTGCTCACCTTGAGGACGTAGAACTGTTGGGATGTTAATCGGCCCTGCAGGGATTCCATCATTTCAGCCTTAGCAGTTCCTGTGGGAGCTCTCTTGCTCCCATGGCTGGGGTTTGTTCAGTAGCCTGGTTAATGACATGGCTGTGACATGGGAGCTGTACCCAAGCTCTGTCCAAGTCATCTGTGACTCAGGGTGCAGCTGGGCCACTCCATCATTGAATTGGTCTCTATAAAGATAAGTGTTGCAGAGTTACGAAGAGGAAAAAAGTCCCTTCATAAAAAAGAGTTTAAATACAGTGTTTATTTCTTTCCATACTAACAAGGGTGTTTTAAAGTAAACTTCAACTGCCAGATCAATTTTACTCACACATTCTGATATGAAATACAGAAGTCATGCGCTTAATTGTAAAATCTGTGCTGTGTTGTTATGGGACTCACTGCAATCAACATGAGGTGTGAGATCTCACAAATTGCTGTGCCAGCATAACTCATGCTTCAGCTGAGCTGAACAAAAGATCTACTTTTAATGTGTGATGCTACAAAAATAACAGGACTTAAAGTGTTGAATTCAGGCAAGCATTTGTATATTGTTGCATTTATAACAAACTGGGACTCTGATTCAAAGTTCATATCTGTGTTAATAATGGGAAGCCTTTATAGAAATGCCATACTTGCAGACCAGCAATCTCTGAAAGTTTATTCCATGGATAATTCTAGTTGATTTTCCATTTATTTTTACTGTTAGAACTGATGTATACCTACCAGTGCTGTACATATGCAGAATACATCTTATTTATTCAATTCACATTCTATTACAGCTGTATTATTGTAACATAATGTGAATTGAAAAGAAATACTGAGAAGTATTTTCAATTTCCATTTTTTTGTGTTACAGTGTGACTTGCTACATTTTTCACTGCAATAATTGGACATATTGCTGATGCACATACATGTAAATAAGGACAGTCAATATGCTTTGAGCTTTGGCATGGCAGAACTACTTAACTATCATTGTATATCACTTTTCATTTTAACATCTAAACTTAAGACAGCAATAAAATAAGGATGAATGTGCATTTTCATGACTGCTGTGATTTAGAGGTTTCTGAGCTCAGGTTGTAACAGCCAGCAAAGTTTTGCATTTTTAAGGGTAGATGGTAGTTCTGAATATTTGTTATATTTTTAAAACTCTTACTGTTTAATCAAGGCTGAAGCCACCCAGAATGGAAGGCCGAAGAGAAAGAGGAAAGGTAGAGCTTTTTCTGGAAAGTAAGATAACAGCAGTTTTTAAAATTTGGTACTGTTTTCACTGGAGTTCTGTTAGACTTTTGGTGGAGTCTGCCATACAAGGAACAGTTTCTCAGTATTATATCATCTGTCCCTTTATGATCAGACCATAGAGCATATGGACGTTGTCTACTGAAAAGAAATCAAGGCTCACGGTGGAGGGATTTATGCTCCCAGTTTGGAAAGGCCCAGAACAAATCCAGGGAGTTGTGCAGATGAACTCCATTCCATTTCCGTAGCAATGAGTGCACTATGGGCTCTCTTCAAACACTTTTTGATAAAATAGTCATAAATCAAGTTTCACATGAGAGAGAATATCCTTATGGACACTCTGGCTTCTGTGCAGTAGTTCTGCAGCTTCCCTCATGATGGCAGAGCATTAAGTGGAGAGATGCACTTGTTCAGTGATAATAAGAGACACATTGGAAACTCTGTGACCTTCATGAGGGTCTCCCACTTAGTGCCACTTTCCTACTCTCTGACACATGATAGAGGCCTCTAAAGATCTGTTTTTTTTCTCAAGTGTGGTTTTGGCCTGGAAGGGATGCAGCATGGGTATCCTCATGACCTTCACCTTCTTTTCTAGATCAGGCCAGAGAACATTTTGCTTCTCTTTCCTGTTACTTTCCCATGTATTCTGTAAATTATTAAGAGAGTCAGATGTATCACTCTTGCCAATTTTAGCAGAAAGGAAATTACATCTAGAGAATAAATTGTTTCAAATGTGTAAATTGACTTTCTCTACAGCCTTTTATTCTTGCAAAGGGAGGCAATCACTTATCTTGCCTAACCTTAAATCCTGCAGGAATCTGCAGGTCTGGGAACCACCATGGGTCAAGCAGCTGGGAGACAGCCAGAGGACTGTAAATACTTTGTGTCATGATAAACAGCAAAACTGTATTAAAACCCACAAGGCAAAAAAACTCCAAAACAAAACAAACAAAAAAGCCCCAACAAAACAATTTTCATTCACTGTATGCGGTCACTAAACCTACTGGAAGCCTTATTGGTGTGGCTTGTCCGTGGAAGGACAGCTGCCAATGCTCTAGCCTGATGTGTATGTGTATAACTAAGGCTCTTGGCAGTGGCTGAAAGGTGTTTTTCAACACCTTTCCCAGTTTTTGTGGTCTTGTTTGATGTGAACCTGAGGACTCATTACACCTATAGAAGCAAGGAGGCAACTACTTTTCTCCAGTACCTTTGACTGGAGGTCATGAGTGTGTGACCCCCTGCCAGTGCACTCAGCAAAGCACATCTTCAGCCAGTCAGTGACTGATTCCAGTGTGCAAAACTGCACAAGGATAGATAGTGCTCATCCTCCAGGCAAAGGCATTGTTGGTCCATGAAAGTGTAAAGAGTTATTGCAAATACCTTGTTATTCATTTCCCACAAAAGACAGTAATGGCTCAAAGGAGCCCTCACAGGCTATAAGGTAAATAAACTGAGTGTTAATAGCTCCCAAGCAGGCCTGCTTAGCACCACTCAGAGTGTATTTTTCAGGAAAGGTTCCATGTGGCTGTCACCATTTCATAGTTCCTGATGGCAGGAAGAATATTTGCTCTGAAAGACCTTGGACTACTAATGTGGGAGACTTTTTGTTGTGTTTCACTTTTTGTTTAAAAGGATATATTCTTTCCTTCAGTTTAAAGGTCTTTTAAAGACCAAGAAAATAGGGAAAGAAAATGCTTAAACTAGGAAAAATGAAAATGTTTTTAGATACCCAGCATATTTCAGGTTAAGATGTGAGTGCATAATAACAGAGAAAGCATTTTAATGATCTGTTGGTCAAATATTCAGAGTCCAAGGTTATGTACTTTTCAGCGTGTATGAGGACAGAATTTGACCTACTCTTGTAAAATCTCCTTCCTCCTTATATAGGTGATACAAGGGCACAGTCACAGCAGGCCCTGGTTGCTTCCTGTTAGGGAAGAAAATCCGTAGAAAGGTGCTGTGATCTCTTCCTCAGCCTGTGTACCTGGATAACCCATTCTGGTGAGCAAATGTCATGAGGAATGCACCTCACAGCCCTGTAAAGTTAACTGTGAAATCATCACAGAATTATTCTCATGTTTCTAATATACTTATCAATGCTGATATAAGAGGTTATTTTCTCTTTTTGAAGAATTGACATCTACACTTCAAACTACCTTAATCTAAAATCCTGGTAGTTGATCAAGTGTTTTGCTGGTGCCATCAAGTGGCGTAATGTTGGATTGCAGAAGTCCCACAGCATCCAAATTGACTCAAATACCTCTTGAACAGCACCAATGAGGAAAATAGTCCCTGACAAGTCTCCTTCAAAAATACATATATATAAATATGTATGAGAAAAATGGACTGAAATACATATGGTGTCATGATTACTTCAGTTACTTCAGTTTGATCTGGATTCTAAAAAGTAGAAAGGCTATTTTTTGAGTATTACTAGTTGATAAATATAGGCAACCTATAAAGCAAAATCAGAGATCCTTGTTGAAGAGCTACTTGAAGTGGCACAATGCTGTATTCTGAATTTCTGTGTTTGCTGTCCTTTGTTACTAGCTATTCCCTTTTTACAGAACATGGCCCTTTGATTTCCTATCATAGTTGCACTTCATATCATCAGAGTAGAGTGAATATTCAATTTGCTGCTGTATTCTCTAACTTCACAGTCTGGTTAACTGAAAATTTAAACTTAAAGTTCATCATTCATACACACATCACTTTTTCTTTTTTTGCCACCTGAGTGACATCATAATATTGTTCAGTAGGAAGGCCTCTGTGCAGAAGAAACACATAAATTTATAAAGCTTATGCTCTATTTCCTTATAAAAATCCAAATAAATTGGTATGGTTTTGTCTTGATTTCTCAGGGGACTGCTAATATCAAAACTCATAGATGTTGCCAGTGTAGAAATTATCCTGTGTTTCAAAATCTAAATCATGCAGGGCTGATTTTGAGAAGCACTGAGCACTCATGCCTGACTTTAAGTTCCTGAGAATGCTGAGCATTTCCCCTTGTGAAAGCCTGGCTCTCACACTTCCTTACACTTCCAACAGGAGCTATGGGAATGCCTCATATAAGTAAAGGCTCCAACTTTTTACCTTAAAATGAGTTATTTCTACACTCTGGGGACTGTTTTCAGCTCCTTCTGCCAAGGTGCTCACAGAATCCAGTGAAACTGCATGGTGGTTTTCACTAACAAGAATCTGAAAACAGCTCCACAGCAAAACCCAAAACCAACAACAGAGAGCAAATGAGAGTGTGAAAATGATGGCAGTGCAGGTGGAAAGATCAGCCATAATCAGTAAGATTTTCCTGGGATTAGAAAAAGCCTTACATTTTAATTAATTCTCACTGTGGATACTTCATGAAATTTTATTCACAAATTCTATTATAAGCATATTTAGGCTTCTTATACTTTCCCCACTTAAATTTGTGCCAGTACTATCAGAGGCACAAATGCTAAAATATTTCATTTGAATCTTGCCCACTTCAGCTTTTTACTCTGTAATTATTAGCACTAGACCAAGCTTTTAATTATCTCTAGCCTGGTACATTTGGAGATCAGTGAAACTGATGCTATTTGGGTTGTTGTGGCTCTGTTGCTTGCCTGTTTTCTGTGTTTTACAGAAACTTAGCATGGAGGAAAGGCTACACTCCTTGGCCCCTGAGTAGCACCTTCAGGATTGTGAGTATGCTTTGAGCAGCTCTCCTGCAGTAACATTTTACTGTGAGAGCTGTCCAGAACCACCAGCAAATGGATGTCATTAACATAGGTGCATGAAGTAGCTTGCTAACCTCTTTTTCCTTTCTGACTGCTACATTGGTTTTCTGAGATGGGACACAGAGTTGCTATGACTCATCTACTTTCTCATGAGATATTATGCCTGAGTTGGCCAAAATCTCTCCTGGCTTGCAGTGTGAATGTAGGAATGTAGAGACATAGACTACATGCAGCTTAGGCAATCTCTGCCTTGTGGAATAGGAAAGGTTTGTTTCTGGACCTTTTCTTTTCTCCAGAATGGGATTCACTTTGATTGGTTAGGGGCTCTACCCTAGTGTGCCTTGAACATCCAAGGGATGTTCAAGGGATGAATATGCAATCCAAGGGATTGCATATTCAGAAAAGACAAACACAAGAGCAATGAAAATTCTTGTTTCAAGCTCATTCGGCATTCTTGCATCTGTCCTATCATTGTGGCATCCTAGCACCTTGCCATGATTCTGGGATGGAAGTCCCATCAGCATCATTTAACAAAGGCAAGTGCTGGACTCTCCCCTGGGATGGGGTAACCCTCGTTATATGTACAGATTGGGTGATGAGAGGCTGGAGAGCAGCCCTGGGGAAAGAGATCTGGTGTTTGGGTTGATGGCAGGCTGTAGATGAGTCAACAGCGTGCTCTGGCAGCCAAAAGGGCCAGCTGTACCCTGGGGTGCATCAGCAGAGTGCAGTGAGCCAAGTGACTGGGAGGTGACTAGGAGGTGACTGGGAGGTGACTGTCCTGCTCTGTTTTGCACTGCTGCAGCCTCACCTCCAGCACTCTGAGCTGGTTTGGGTGCCTTAGTGGAAGAAGCACATCGAACTGCTAGAGTGTGTCCAGAGGAGGGGACCATGGTGATGAAAGGTCTCAAGGGCAAGATGTTCAAGGAGCAGCTGAGGTCTGCTCAGCCGGGAGAAGAGAAGGCAGAGGGGTGACCTCCACAAAGTCTACACCTTCCTCAAGGGAGGCAGTGGAGGGAGAGGTGCTGATCTCCTCTCTCTGGTGGCCAGAAATGATAGGATGTGAGAGAATGGCATGAAGGTCCATCAGGGAAAGTTCAGGATGGATATTTGGGAAAGGTTCTCCACTGTGTGGGTGACCAATCAATGGAACAGACACCCCAGGGGAGTGATCATTGCACCAAGTCTGTCAGAGTTCAAGGAGCATCTGGACAATGGTCTTGGCCATGGTTTAGTGTTAGATAGTCATGTGAGGAGCAGGGAGTTGGACTTGGTGATCTGTATGGGTCCCTTCCAAATTGAGATATTCTGTGATCATTTCACGTAACGGTTAGCTCATGATAACAAAGAGGAGAACAAGGACAGGAAGGGAAGTTTCCAGTCTATGAGTCATGTTTTAACTCTTTGACATTCTGGTCTGCATCTTCCATTCCTTTTGTCCAGGAAAGGCTGCAGGACTGAAGGCTATCTTTGGACTTTTCTGAGTCAGCCTTAAGCAGTGTGCTCTGCTTTCAAAGCTTTCCTGTAAGACAATAACGGTGATCTGAATCCTGAATCCCCTATCTTTCAGTTAGCCAGTTTTTTGTTTGATGTTTTTTTTTGCTTGTTTGTTTGTTTGTTTTTGTTTTTTTTTTTTTAATGCTGTCATGAAGAAAAAGAAATCTTGGAACTGGTTTGAACTGGTTTGAGTGGAAGTGGCACCAACTTCAGTATATTTTAAAGAACAAATTGGCTGTGGTTAGAGTCTAGGAAAAGGAGCCCTAATTGCAAAAGCATTCCCCAACAGCTCCTCAGCTGTTGTTCCTAGACATGTCTCTTCTTTTACAACAGCTTTCTGAAAAAGCTGAGCACTGACGTTTCATGTTTATGACTATGGTATTTGGGGATGCGGTAAATTAGGCCAAAAGTGAAATCTTTAAGTTCAGGAAGGATGTTTGGGACAACAGCCAACAGTAAACAGTTATCAAATGATGGGCAAAAAATAAATACAGAAATTTGGAACTTCAAGTGTTTCAGCTAAATATTATGTAGAGATTTGTGAGTACTAATATATTTCCACATTAATATTTAGGGCATTGTGAAAAAAATAAAAGCTTAAAGTCCCCATGCAGATATTTGTACATATCAGTCTAAATTGCCATCTGACAATTTTGCTGCCTGGTGCTTCTCTGGTGAAAGCACTTCACTTAAACATTTTGACTGTGAGAAGTATATGTCTAGTCTACATTGGCTGAGAGTCTTCTCCACTACCATAAGGTGTACATCCATTAACAAATGTATATGGCGATCCTTTTCCCTTGCTCAGTTGTCTTCTGGCAGTACACCTAGAGCAAGTCCTCCATGCTTCTTCTGTGCTCTTCTGGGAAGCTTGCAGCAGTGGAGGAATTTTCTGAGCTCTTTATAGCTGAAAGAAAAAAAACCCCAAAACCAAAATGTCTTTTGATAGCAGCAGCAGTGATGGTCACCTGAAGTCTTTTAAGCAATGACAACTTGGCTCTGTTTTCATGACTGTGACTTGCTCAGCTTATTCTGGCTAATGCCATCAGGGTGAACCGTCACTAGGAGGAGTTAGTACAACAGCAACTGGCAATTGTTTAATGAAGGTTGGGTCAAGTCAATGATGTTTTGATCAGTGAGGGGAAGAAACGAGGCAATAGATGTGTGCAGCATGTGCATCTTGCAGTGTTATTGAGTAACAGCTGCCAGCACATACATACCTGCACTCTCAGTAGCATATGGACAGCAAATAGCAGAGATGGAAGCTTTAGCATCTAATTCCCACTGATTTCAGAATTTGTTATTTATGCCTTTGGAAACTTCCCCCTCCATCTCTAGAGAGGGGTGAGGAATGTTACTGTTTAGTAGCTCTAGTTCAGACTGAAGGAATGCTGTTTTAGGCACTCACATGGATGTGCTAGAGGCTGAGGATACTCTGTACATTTCCATATATTGGTGCCATTTGACATCGAGCAGTTTGATGTGTATGATGAACCAAAATAAGAATCTGATGTGCTATAGAGTATCAGAAAACTTTTCTGTTTCTCAGTTTCTGAAGGAACTCAAGCATTCACTTACAAGTTCTGTCTAAAATTTTGCCCCCAGTCTGAAAGTAGTCAGGCAGATGCCAAGTCACCTGTGTGGCTGTGATGTTTGTATGCATTAGGCCAGTTCTCACTGGAAACATTAATAAACCTTCCTGTTGGCTGCTCTCTATAGGCTGCCAAGCTGCAGAACAACCACTTTACCTTAGACATAAAAGAGAAGCATTGCATACAAAGGTCTGATCATCTATTCTGTTCAAATGGGACTGTGTTAAACTTAAAATATTTACAAGTCTCCTTCTCCCAAAGAAACATTTATAGCCGATGTTGATCCAGTGACATTTGAGATCTCAAGACACGTTAAAAAAGGTCTCAGCCCAGAGATTTTCAAAAAAGGTGAACTTATTTTTAAAGTGTCTATCATAAGCAATCCTTAAGAGCCTCAGCACTGCACACAATGATTTAATAGACACTATTAGGGTTTCTAACTTCCACAATAGTAGATTTATTCTGAATTCTGACAGACAACTTCCAGCTTTCTGGCTCTTTTCTTTTGAGAAAAACCCACACCAGCAAAAATATAATGTTCTGGGATCAGAATATTAGTTTGCTTCTTTGTTATTAAAAACTTACATTTTTCCCTTCAGGTTTGTTTCGTATGTCATGTGGATCTCAAACCAGAGTGTAAGAATACAGTGTCTTAAATTATGAGCTTGTGAAGGCCTCCAGTCATTGTTTTGATCAGTGTATGAAGCCAACACATCTGAGGGTATGTGCTGCCAACAGCTTCCAGCAGGTCTTGGAAGGAGAATTCTTATTCATACTGGCATTTTAATTCAGGACTCTACTTTTGACATGAATCTCCCAAAGGTCTCTGTTTTGCAGTACCTTGGTCTTGGAGTACATGAACTGGGTTCCTTATGGATGTAATTATCTGAAAGCTGTGTTCCAGAAATATACCAGGAGGGTACCACAGCCACAAGTGGACCCTTAATCCAAAGTAAAGAGCATCTGAAATATATTTTCTTGGCACCTCAGATCCTCAGCACTCACTGTTTCACTCTACACATCTTCTCCTGTAGTCCACAATACATGCCAGTGGCATAGTCACTGAGCAACATACAGATTTGGAATTAATTGATTTTTTTTTGGCTTGGGATGGTCTGAATTTGTTTTTATTAAGTGTTTCCCAATAAACATGTAAATAACTATACACATAATCTTAGTATATCAACTCTGAATTTGACTATCTGATGATAGGGTAAAATACATAGGATACCTTCTTTGTATATATATATAGAACGTAGCATTATTCAAATATATATGCATGCTTCTGGTTATTCAGGGTCTAGCTATGCAAATATTGGTAGCAAATGCTCCAGTCCAAGAAAATAATGTAATAAAATTAATGGATTAATTATTTTTAAAAGCTGAGAACAACTGTTCTATTTATTTATTTATCTGGATTTATGTGACTAGGAAAAAATGTAACATTTTAAAAACATATGACATTGTAAAACATGCAGCTGCCTTCTTTCCAGGTATGGTTTGGGGAGTTCATGTGGTGTTTTACAGTAGCAGAAAAATGTAGCTTATGACCTGTGTTACAATACAGATTTTCGTGGTCACAGAGAAAAGAATGTTACAACCATGCTATGTGTATTTAATGTTTGTGTTTCCGAATTGGGTCCAACATAGTTGTCATCTGAAAGGTGCCTTGCTGTTGCATTGCTTAATTTTTCCTTTTTCTGGGTATCCTGTGTAACTAACATGATTCTTTCCTGGATATTCATTAAAACATAAATCAGGTCTATAATTCAGTAAACTTCCAAGCCTATTAATAGTTAAAAGAGTGCAGATGGAAATTCACCAAAATCCTGCAATGCAAGGAATACCACAAAAACTTGCCTCAGGGCAGATATGTAAGTGGGAGGCATCAATACACAGTTTGACAGGCGTGATAATTCAATAATATCAAAGTATTCTGACTGAAATTCAGATGTTGGATAGGAGACATTACAAATAATGAAAGAATTTATCAAGTGTAGTAAACCTGAAGCCTGCCAGAAAGATGGAAACTAGGACCTGATTTTGCTAATAATAGAGACAAAATCTCATATGAAAGAACACTGGAGGACTTGAGGTCCACTCTGGAATGCATTATGTATGGAAAAAATACAAATTTAGGTTAAAAAAAAAAAGTCATGAGTGCCAAGCAGCATGGAAGTTCAGCTTTACAGACCTTTAAAAATTGCAGGAATTCTGCCATATCCTGCCCCCCAGCTATTAGTATAATTGAGCCTGTAAAAAACAGTAAAAACACATTGATTCCTGAAACTTCCTGATTACATACTGATGCTTATGAAAGCTAAATGCAAGCTTAATTTAATTTTAAATTTTAATTTAAAAGTTTATTTTAGTAATTCTAGGTCAAACTGTAATCTAGGAAAAAAAAGAGGTTTAAAACAGGAGTAGATACTGTGATAAATGTTGGTGATTTTATGTGAAATATGCCCATCTTTTCCAAATTAGAAATAAATGCAATATATGTGTTCATTTTATTCTTTATAAAAATTATTTCAGGAGATTTTGAATGCTAAAGCCACTGTGTAATTTATTTTAGCAGTCCTCTTTTCAGCTGTAATGAACATATTTCCTGGGGGACTGACAGACTATTGTGCAAAGTTGAAGATACTCTGTTTCATTAAAGAAAAAAAAAAAAAGTGTCTTATCAGAAAAACATAACCACGAGAAAATGCTTTCAGTAACAGTAAATTGATATCAAATACTTCTAATGGAATAATTTTCCTTTACCGGTTCTGTTCTTACCTGTGTTTTGAGACAGTCGGACAGCAAGGAATTTGAAATGGAGTTAGTACTACATTCAAATTGAAGGTTCTTGATAGGACTTCAGGTTCCTCATTTGCTTGGCAGTGTTGGGGCAGGTTATGCAGTAGCAGGTTATCATGTTTCATATTTCAACTTTTAGGGGAAGATGCAGAATAAAATACCAGATACCAGAGGATTTTTTACTGCATCTGAATACAAAGGAGAAAACAGATGAGTTCTGCCTAATTCTGACAAGTGTCTACAGGAAACAGTGGTTGCTTTTACTACTGCTACTGGTTATTTTTACCAGGTGACAAAATAAAAGAAACATAAAAACAAAGTTAAAAGAAGCAGATTAAAGGGGTGTGATACTATTGCTTTGTATTACTGCTGAACAGAAGCTGGAAATAAGCTTTCAAGTAAGAGCGGAAAGTTTGGACTTGCACAGAAAAGGACTTCTGCACAGAAAGTCTCCCTGGTGAATTCAGTTTCACTGTGAAGCTCCAGTCCCACTCCGAAAAGGACTTTAAACCCATGATACTTTTAATAGAAAATACCTTCTTCCTTAACTGCCATGGTTTTTCTCTCTACATCTGTGCTTAGGGGAAATGATTCAGTCCTCCTTTCACTTGAACAAATTTGTATTTCAATGCTGGTTGATCAGCTGTTTGTGGGGAGAGGAGCTGTACTAGGTCAGTGTAAACCACTGAGCTCTCTAGAACTTCATGCAGGCATTTATATCTAAATAAGTTGCCTCTGCTTTGAGCTGCTCTCTTGTGCAAGACAAAAGCGCCAGGACTTTTACTTTCTATCAGATGAAGCTTTGGTTCAAAGACACAGAGTCTGCTCAAAAAGCCACCATCAGCTTCTTAGACAAAATAGACAAAGAAGCACTACTGCTTCCTTTCCCATCCACCAAGAGCCAGCAGAGCACTCCCTTGTATCTGTGCCTGCTTCTTCTGGGGCAGTCCTGGGGAAGCCCTCAGGAACCTTTGTTCCATGACAAGCACAGTGTGTAATAATGGCTAGATAAGTTCACAAAGGGAAACACTGAATTCACTCTGCTTGCCACACACTGTGACAAGACTCCTTTTGACTAAAAAACAATGGCTCCTCAGGTGAAGAAGACTGAGAGGCCTTTGTTTTGCATCCTTACATTTGAGTTGTGCTTTTAAGGCTTCTGTGTTGCTGTGTACTTAGTGATCTGCTAGCTTTTGGATATGGACCTTGCAATGGGAAGAAGAGTCTAAGAAGAGTCTCAAGGAGAAAGGAGCAATTTATATTCATCTGACTGGTACATTTGCTGTTCTGACTTTGGCAAAGCTTTGACAAAACGGATATTTTAAACAAGTCCTCTTCTTCTCTGGCATATGTTAGTAAAGTGCAAAAGGTTTTGCTTTGCCTTATTAAAATAGGGAACTAATTTGAAAATATTTGAAATTTGTTATTCTTCTAGGATGTCTGGGAGTTCAGCCATATGTTTTTGAAGAAAATAAGTTGATGTAGCATATTCAAGTGAAAAACCCTAAACTAATTCTATCATGCTGGAAGTTTATAGAGTACTGGGTAGGTCTGCTATGGTATCTATATGAACACAGTGGGAATCTTACATTGATGACTCACATTAAAGTATAATTGGCTTGCAATGAGAAAATTGTTCTGAGTTGTTGATCCATAATCTGCAAGTGGGCAAGAAACAGAAATCAGACTTTCCTTTTAGCAGAACTGCTGTGGTTCTGCTAGAAATTTCTCTGCAATGCACTTCTGAGTCCACATTGTTCCGACCCCAGTGGAATTTCCTTTCTATCCAGCTTTATTAGCCTGTCTCAGAAATTTATTTCCGGCTGCCAGAATTACAGATGGAGCCTGTGACTAGTAGATTTTTTGCCCCTGCCTGTTGCACATATAGGGAGCTCCCACATTTCATGGGTTCTCTTTGCAACTCCATGACAGCAGCTGCCCACTGAGGCAGGGATCTATGCCATCAATCGTATTTCATCAGTCTCCTAGCATTCAGCTATCATCCATAGCACCGGATCATGATTGACTGCACTCAGCTTCAAATCCACGTAGTACATACAGACTTAAACCTATCTGCAGTCTTACCCAGCACACCAGCACCAGGACCACTGATTCACAATAATCCACCCTCCCTCATCAAAAGGGTTCTGAACATATGTGTCCTATGTCTGCAGCTGCACTAGTCCAAACCCACCATTCAAATCCTAAAACTTGCCTTCAGCTCCAGAAAATTAGTTCCTTGCACAGCACTTCCAGGTGGCTGGCTTGGGGACCTCAAGCTTGTAGTCATTGGCACCTCCCATTAGGAGGAGAATGCAGACCAAGGGTCAGGACATCCCTAGGAACAGTGCTCTCTGAACACAGTCACAGAGGAGCCCACACTGTCTGTGTAGCTATGTTCCTTGGCAAACTGGCCCAGTTCCTTGGCAGAAGAATCCAAGGAGATTTTAGCTTAGTGACCAAAGTCACAAGTCCTTATTGATCCAGGGGAAATCACCCGCAAAGGAAATCAGTAGTTTCCAGGATGATATCTCTCTAAAGCAGGAGCCACCATCATACACATTTCAGCCCCAGAACTTTCAGAAATCCATTATCAAGACAATGAATTATCTCACTGGGGGGCTTTGCTGAGGAAAAGCTCCCAGTGGGAGGAAGTAAGAAGGTATAGGAAAATTATACATTATTATTTTGGAAATGATACCTAAGTAAAAGTTGATTTCTAAATGTAACAAATATTGTGCTTACAGAACCTAAAGAAATATTATTCCTACATAGGAGACAATATCTGGAGATCAGCCCCTCTCTTCTCAACCATTATTGTCTGTCTCTTTGGAAGAAAAGCGTTAATAGGAAGCTGTGTAGGGCTGAACTCTGAACTAAGCTTACCTTCTTATTCAGTGCCCCATGACTATGCTGTGGTCTGTGTTCTGGTAGTATTTGACATCACAGCAAGAGGGTGTTGGGGAGCAGCACATAGGATGAGGCAGCTGGTGATGCCAGCAGGGGTTTAACTGTTCAGTGGGGTGGAAGGATATTAGAGCACACCTGGGAGCTGGGATCCAAGACACACATAGGCCATGTGCAGTTTTACCTCTCCTGAATAAAGCAATAAATACAGCCACAAACCAAGACAGTTTGTTACAGAAAATTTGATTGAGAAGAATTGAGTGGAGTCATGTGGATGTCGGTTCAATTCTTGAGAAATTCGCTGAGCCTAGTGGATTTCAAGTAAGGCAGGCAGCACAGCAGCAAGACTTCCATGAAGTGCCAATTTTTTATTCCTGTTCTCAGAGATACCATTATTCTTTGCTAAGATCTTGTGGGATGTTCACATCATCCTTCAAAACAGTTGGAGCTGGCCACCACTGGTGGAGTTTGGATTCTGGTTAGGTTGGCTTGCTGGATGTTTTTGCCTTCCTGTGTTTGACAGACATGGTGATAGATTTTGATCTGTTTTACTTTCTTCTGCTGACCTTCTTTTTTCTCTCAATATGTTTTTTGTTTGGCTTGAATTGGCATCAAAATAAGTGGATGAATTTGAAAAGAGTGGTTTTTTTCTGTTGTTTTTTTTTTTTTTTTTTTTTTTTTTTTTTTTCACCAGTGAGAGCAAAACTAGCTGGAGGTCTTACTTTTCTTGGAAAAGCAGTGTGAAAAAAGCTGGAAGCATGTCTTTTGGCAGGTGACAGTACATAAATAGTTTTTCTGAACACCTATTAAATGCACTATTTTGTTATTAATAACCAGTTGAGCCAGTAATTGGTTTATTATGATTTTGAACCACTGATTTGTTTTTAACCTGGATGGCTTGTCCATCATATTAAAGTGAACTAAGCTTTAATGCTGGTGCCATGTGCCAGTGATACAGCTGTATCAGTGATTTCCAGAGTTCACAAGTTTAATATATTCTGAAAAAAAAATATTTCAGTATGTCTTTTTCATGATCCGTCTTTCTCTAGAGCTGAATGTTCGGAAAGGCTCAGCAGAATATTTTCCTTCATTTCATTAATTACTCAACTGTTAAAAATTGTCTGAAATTTCCTTCCAGAAATATACTATGAAAGAATTAGAATTGTGGTTTTAGGATACAATGGGAATAAGCTATCTCAGTTGTTATTATAGAGGGTGTTGCTGACTGGAAGAAAAAGGCTTAGGACATCAGTTCTACCCTCCGAATCTTCACAAAAAAAGGTCATCCCCCACATGTAAATCTATCAGTACCTTAGTTGTGTGTTTCGCTGCCACCTGTATCTCCACATGACTGAATTTCTTTGGACAAAAAACTAATTGGGAGAATGAAGGTCCTTGATACATCTCTGTATAGCTCCCTTACCAGGCTGCCGTGGATGTCTTGTGCTGGTGGAGCAATAGTGTCAGGGAAAGATGGATATCAAAAAATCACAGAATGCTTGAGGTGGGAGGGGACTTCTGATGGTCACCTGGTGCAACCCCTACCCAGGCAAGGCCACCTAAATCAGGCTGCCTGTGACCATGTTTCCAAGGAGATATCACACCCTCTCAGGGCTCAGTCACCCTCACAGGCTAAGTGCTTCCTTATGTTCAGATGGACCATCCTGGGTTTCAGTTGGTGCCCATCACCTCTGGTCTTCTTACTGGGCATAAATGAAAAGAGCCTGGCTCCATTTTCTTTTGCAACCTCCTTTCAGGTGTTTGTACACATTGATGAGATCCTCCCTAAGGCTTTTCTTCTCCAGGCTGCCTTTCATCATACAAGAAATGTTCTAGACCCTTCATTAGCTTGATGGCCTTTCACGAGACTTGCTCCAGTACCACCACCTTCTTTGTTCTGGGGAGTTCTGAACTGGACACCGTACTCCAGATGTGGTCCCACCAGTGCTGAGTAGAGTGGAAGGACCACTTCCCTCAAACTGCTGTCCACTCCTCATGCAGCCCCAGGTACCCTTTGCTTTCCTTCTAGTAAAGGCAGTTTGTTGGCTCCTGTCCAACTTGGTGTCCACCAGCACCCCTAGTCCATCCTGCAAAGCTGCTTTCCAGCTGGCCAGCTGCAGCACATGCTGGTCCTCCTCGCAGCATGGGGCTGTTCCTTTTTACATGCAAGACTTTACATTTGCCTTTGTTGAACTGCATGAGTTGTTGAATTGCATGT